GCTTTCTCCGTGCTCTGCTCTCCCAAGGGCCCCGTTAATTCCCCGCGGGGCTCCGGCGGCCGCGGTGCCGGCCCTGACGTGTCCCTTTCCCTCGGCAGTGGACGCGGGGCACAGAGCAGTGATCTTCGACCGCTTCCGGGGGGTGCAGGACGTGGTGGTGGGAGAAGGGACCCATTTCCTGATCCCCTGGGTGCAGAAACCCATCATCTTCGACTGCCGCTCGCGGCCCCGCAACGTCCCCGTCATCACCGGCAGCAAAGGTGGGTGCTGGGAGGGGCTCAGGGGGCTCTGGGGGGCTCCGGGGGAGGTTTGTCCTTCCACACCTGGAGTTGTGTGCGGGCAGAAATGGAGCAAGCTCCACCTGGAGCTGAGGGAGGCTGAGCGAGCACCGGGACAGGTGAGCTGGGGGTGCCAGCCCCACCCCACCCTGCTCCAGGTGACCCTGAAGGTGTCCTGAGGTCCCGTCTGACCCCAGCTCCGTGGGGATCCCGAGGGTTGGGACAGTCAGGAAGGGTTGGTCTCTGATAAAGGGCGTTAAGGAGCTCTTTGGTCCTCTGGGGATCCTCCAGCCCAAACCATTCCCTGACTGTGGCGATCCCAGGGGTCCCCCTTTGGCATGGGAATGGTTTGAGGCTTTTAATAAAGAACAGGTTAAGGAGCTCTTCCTTTGGTCCCGAATTTTTGGGGTGGGAAGGGATCTCTGGAGATCCCACAGGTCCCCAGAAAGGTTTGAGCTCTTTAACTCGAGAACTCTTCCTCTGCTGCTGGAAATCACTGGATCCTGAGCAGCTGGACTTGGAAGGGAACCCCGGAGCTCCCCCAGCGCCAGGCAGGGCCAGCCGGGGCAGGTGACAGCGCCGGGGTTGGAATTCTCGGAGGGGAGAGGGGAGTGAAGCCAGCCCGTTTTTCCTGGGATCCGGGGGGTTTATCCGTGCTCAGGGCTCAGCGCAGCTCCCTGAGCGCGGCACGGCTTCCCCAGACCTGCAGAACGTGAACATCACGCTGCGGATCCTGTTCCGGCCCGTGACGGCGCAGCTGCCGCGCATCTTCACCAGCATCGGCGAGGACTACGACGAGCGCGTGCTGCCCTCCATCACCACCGAGATCCTCAAATCTGTGGTGGTGAGCAGTGAGAATTCCAGCCTGCTTTGGCTGGGAAGGGACCTGGGAGCTCATCCGGATCCAAACCCCATCCGGCCCGGCCTCGGGCACTCCCAGGGGTGGGGGTTCCAAAGCTCCCTGGGAGGCTTTTTCCATGGGGAAATTCCTGCTGCTGTTCTGGCTGGGGCAGCATGGGGCTGTGTCTGGTCACTGCCTGTTCCCTCTTGTTCCATCCTGTTCCCAGTGCTGTCCATCCCATTCCCAGTGCTGTCCCTCGTGTTCTCAGCTCATTCCATCCCATTCCCAGCACTATCCCATCCTGTTCCCAGCTCTATCCCATTCCCAGCTCTATCCCAATCCCATCCCATTCCCATTCCCAGGTCTGTCTCTCCCATCCCATTCCCGTTCCCAGCTCTGTCCCTCCTGTTCCCAGCTCTATCCCATTCCCATCCCGTTCCCAGCCCGTTCCCTCCCGCCCCAGGCCCGTTTCGATGCCGGTGAGCTGATCACGCAGCGGGAGCTGGTGTCCAGGCAGGTCAGCGAGGACCTCACCGAGCGAGCAGCCACCTTCGGCCTCATCCTGGACGACGTGTCCCTGGTGGGTTTCCCTCTCCCGCTTCCCCTCTGGCCACGAGGGAGTCCGAGGGTGGCCACAGGACGGCGGGATGGACACCTGGACATGTGGACACAGCTCTGGCTGTGTCCCCGTGGCCTGGGGCAGCCCTGGGTGGCCTTGGTGGCCTCAGGCTCCCTGTGCAGGGGTTCTGTAGTGCTGCATCCCGAAGCCAAATTTGGGATTTGCTACCCTGGGGCACCCCAGGGAAACACCAGGAAATTCCCGCTTGGACAGCAGGGAATTCCCGCTGGTTCCTCTGCCGAGATATCCGAGGGCGGAGCTCTGTCCTCCCACCTCCAGTTATAAATGAAATTACAAATGAAATTTATCCCTTTATGAATGAAAAGCTGTAATCAGGCACAGCTCCCTCTTCCCCTCGGGATCCTGCAGGGAGCCTGGGCAGGAAGGTGACTTTGTTTCTGCCCAAAGGGAATTTGGACACTTTGTTTCTGGAGCTTTCCCGGGGATGGGATTCCTGGATTTCTGTGGGGGATCCCGGGGGGATTCCTGGATTTCTGTGGGGGATGCAGGGCTCAGCAGTTCCCGCTGTGACCCAGCTGGGTTTGTGCCCCCAGACCCACCTGACGTTCGGCAAGGAGTTCACGGAGGCGGTGGAGATGAAGCAGGTGGCGCAGCAGGAGGCAGAGCGCGCCAGGTTCATCGTGGAGAAGGTACCTGGTCCTGCTGGCAAATCTGGGATTTGGGATTTTCCCTGGAGCAGAAGGGTTTTCCCAAATATCCGACACGAACCCGGCTGGAGGGGGCTCCTCTTTGCTCGTGGTTTGCTGCCGGGTCACTGCTGGGATCCACACTGGATCATCTCTGGGAGAATGGGATTTTCATCCCTTGTGTCACCTCACATTTTGGAGACCTCTGGCTTTGGCACACAAAATAATCGGCATTTCCACGTGGGACGGAGAGGTGGAAAACCAGCAAAATTCACCTCAAAATTGCCTTTTTTCCTTTTCCCACAGCAGGCAGATCCGATATTTCCTGTCCCACTTTAGAGACCACCAACCAGAACCTTCCATCCCTCTCCTGGCTGGGGGATCCCTGCGGGGTGGGGCGGCTCCTCCCGCTCTCCCTCCATCCTCTCTCCTTTCCTGCATTCCCGGTTTTCCTTCCCGGTTTTCCTTCCCGGAGTTCCTTCCCGGTTTTCCTTCCCGGGTTTCCTTCACGGTTTTCCTTCCCGTTTTTCCCGCAGGCCGAGCAGCAGAAGAAGGCGGCCGTGATCTCGGCAGAGGGTGACTCCAAGGCTGCAGAGCTGATTGCCAACTCGCTGGCCACGGCTGGGGACGGGCTGATCGAGCTGCGCAAGCTGGAGGCGGCCGAGGACATCGCGTACCAGCTCTCGCGCTCCCGCAACATCACCTACCTGCCCTCGGGCCAGTCCGTGCTGCTGCAGCTGCCCCAGTGAGCCAGGGGGGAAAAAAACAACACAGCCCCCACACCCCCCAAAAAAACAAAAATTAAAAAAAAAATCATCACAGTTTCCTCGCGGAGGAAAAGGAAATTTGGATATCGGAGGGATTTTATTTTTTTTTTTTTTTCCGGATGGGTAATGGAATAGAAAGCGAACAGGCCTAAGGTTCCTCCCCTGTGCGGTCACAGCGGTGGCTTCAGTGACTCTGAGTTGGGGAATTGAGGAAAATTTGGGAAGTGAGATTTGCCCCTTTCCGGGCAGCTGGAGCACCAGGAGCTGAGTTTTCCCGGGATGGAGCCCAGGAATCCACAGCAAGTCCAACGCTCTGGAATTCGGCATTTGCAGCTCCGGGGCAGAGAGGGCACCGAGATTTTTTTGGCAGAATCTCAAATCCAGCGCCCTCCGCTGTGTGGGGCCGTTCGTAGGTGAGGAAACAAACCCCAGGCAGAGCTTGCGGACGGAAGGATTTAGGAAAGGAACAGAAAGCTGTGGGAGCAGCCCTGAACTCCTCCCGAAAGAGCCAAAAGGCTTGGTGCCCTTCCCCCTGCGGGCCGCTCTCACTAATAATTCCTGCACGGCTGCCAAAGCCAAACCACAGCAGCGCCGTCCCCTCCTGCACAGCCCCGGCAGCGGTTCTGGGGCTGTGCCCGGGGCTCCGCAGCCTCCCGGGGCTCCGCAGCCGCCCGGGGCTCCGCAGCCGCCCGGGGCAGGCGGAGGAGGCAGCGCCGAGCCCTCCGCTCCTGCCCCCGCTCCCTACCTAAGGCGCCGCTCCTCGGCGAAACCGCAGGCTGGGATTGAACAGTGATTAATTAACGTGCCGAGGGCAGGGGCAGGTTTTGGGCAAGCGGGAATTGTTGGGGTTTGGCACCGTCACGGACGGGAGCGGCCCCTCCAGGCCCTGCCCGCGGCTGAGGGGCTCCGGGAGCCCTGAGGGCCGCAGCCGGCCCCGGGAGCCCTGAGGGCGGCGGCCAGCCCCGGGAGCCCTGAGGGCTCGCTCAGGCCGCGGTTACCGCAGCCCGGCCGCGGCCTGCCCGCCTCACCCGGCTGCGCTAATTACGGCGGGCTCGCTAATTACCCGCGCGGAGTAATGGGCGGGCGGCCCTGCTGAGGGGAGCCCCCCGCTCCATCGCACCCCCTCACACGACACCCTCACCCCCGCCATCACCTGCCTGCGCTAATTAGGGCACGGCCGCTAATTACCGGAGGGGTAACGAGCCCCCTTCGTGCCCCCCGCGCATGCGCACGCTCCCCCCCGCCTCACCTGCGCCGCGCGCGCCGCCGCCTCAGGTGCAGCAGCGGCGGGAAAGGGGCGGGCGCGCGGGAACGGCCCCCGGCGGCGCATGCGCACAGCGCCGCCTGCCCCCGGCCCGTGCGCGCCCCGTGCGCGCCCCCGGCCCGTCCGCGCGCGCTCCCGCCCCTCTCGCCCTGCGCGCGTTACTCCCCACTCCCCGCCGCCCCTGCGCGCTCCCGCACGCGCGCACTCGCCGTCCCCGCTCCTCTCGGCCTACGCGGTGCTTCCCTCCCGCCTCCACAGCACGGTCCGTTCCCTCCCCGCCTCCGAGCGCGCTCCCGCACACGCGCACTTACACACCCTCACCCCCC